AAATGGGCTAAACCATATAGATCCATATTGGTCAGCTCCAACATGGTCAGGGAGGTATTAGAAATGAATCCTTTAAGAGTTTACTTTTGTATACCCTTTAACAAACAGATGATGTTATTACCAATTATTGAACCTTAGCTAAGGTCAGATGAAGCAGTTTCTTGTATGGCCAATTATTTATTGCATCTGGTACCCAGTTAACTGTGTTTTATTTCTATTACTTCAGCCCAAACCTTAAATAAGATAACACTGGTATTTTGACAGGTCACTACAAGTTTAACACAACCTTTCTTTCTCGTGAGCTCATTCTTTTTGGTTACATGCTTGGGGCCTATTATATCCCAACTCAGTTTAAATCCATAGTTCCCCCAGATCGAATGTGGGCCTATATTCCCACAGTGGGTTTTGATGTTTTCTTTTCCTTTGAATTGTTACCTGGTGGCTTCCCAAAAATAATGTGGTCCAATGACGTGGGGTGAGGGTAGGCTCCATGGACACATGACGCCAACTAACAGAAGGCACAGCAGGGAAAAAAGGCATCAGTAAGGCATTCAGCTGAGACTATTGCCTTCACTACTCACAGCTGGAGGATTTCTATTTTATCTAATCTATTAGATTAGCCCTCACCTCTTGCTCAGCCCTCTTGCCCCCTTTTTAGCATCCTGCTCCCTGGGTGGCATCTCCTGGAACACCCCTGCCTGGCTCAGTAAGGGCATCTCACAATCTGGGCACTAATGAGCAGTGTGGCCATGCTATGATTGCTGTGAGACCCATAATTCTGAATTTTGTGTATTTCTGATATCTGCCATAATATTACATTAATGCAATTCTTTGCATAATGTGGGGAGGAGGGAATAGGAGTTTATTAGGGACTCTGTGTATCTTAGATATTTATACTGTAAGACATCCATCACCATAGTAAGTAGCACTAATGCTTGGGCAATAAGAGCTGACTAGATATGTCTCTGTCAATTTCTTCCTTCTCCAAAGAGAGGTGCATCTCCTATTTCAGGCAGGATCCTAAGTGTACTGTGGAACTTGTCAGTAATAACATGTAATGAGTTGACAGCCAGCAGATTAAGATCAACTATAACTACTACCTGCATGCTAGTATTTCTTGGAGTTGGATATTTTTGCAATTAAACACTAGATGGCAGTAGTTTTGCAGTTAAGAGGCAAGACAGAAAATGATTGTGCAAGCTCATGCGATGGTTATTATACTCCTAGCATAGCTAATCTTTCATTCCATGAATAAGAGGAGGAGGCAAGGATAGTTAGAACTAAGAAAAAAGAGTAACATTTTTTTTGTGCTGATAGGACAACAAGGCTGGAAACGAAAATATTTTCCATCATGGATCTTCACCTCAGGAACTAGATTCCCCCTTGAACTGACAAAGCGTGGACTTGTCACCCTTTAGGGCAGCTTCAGAGCTCATCTATTCACTCAGGATTGAGGGAATTGCTGTGGTTCATCATGGGGTATTATTTATGGTGGAATATCCACAGTTATAAGGGCTTATTGTGTTATTTAGCTGACTTTGCTGTGAAGCCGGATGGGTGGCGCAGTCCTTTGTTTTGAGGATATTTATCCTTACATTGTGTTTTTAAAAATTTGTATAGATGCTAGCAGATTAGATAGGCATTTTAAATAAATAAAGATGAGGTGTTAAATTATATATTCAATTACACACGCATATGCACAAATACATTAAAAGAACATTAAGTTTGCAAAGTCAAGCACTCCAAAGTTAGGAAATGCCAGAATTAAGGTTGCCTGTACAACCTTAATTCGAGCCCCTTATGCATCTGCATTATATTCGTCTTTAATTACATATTCACATACCATGTGACCATGAGATGGTTGAGTTTAGGATCCTGACAAAAGGAAGAAAGGAGAGTAGCAAAATGTGGACCCTGAACTTCAGAAAAGCAGACTTTGACTCCCTTAGGGAACTGATGGGCAGGATCCCCTGGGAAGCTAATATGAGGGGGCAAGGAGTCCAGGAAAGCTGGCTGTATTTTAAAGAAGCCTTATTGAGGGCACAGGAACAAACCATCCCAAAGTGCAGAAAGAAGAGCAAATATGGCAAGCGACCAGCTTGGCTTAACAGTGAAATCTTCGGTGGGCTTAAACTCAAAAAGGAAGCTTACAAGAAGTGGAAATTTGGACAGATGACTAGGGAGGAGTATAAAAATATTGCTAGAGCATGCAGGGGTGTAATCAGGAAGGCGAAAGCACAATTGGAGTTGCAGCTAGCAAGGGACGTGAAGGGTAACAAGAAGGGTTTCTACAGGTATGTCATAACTATAAAGGGAAGGGTAACAGCTGTCCTGTGTATAGTACTATAAAATCCCTCCTGGCCAGAGACTCCAAAATCCTTGTACCTGTAAAGGGTTAAGAAGCTCAGGTAACCTGGCTGGCATCTGACCCAAAGGACCCATAAGGGGACAAGATACTTTCAAATCTTGGGGGGAGGGGGGGAAGGCTTTTGTTTGTGCTCTTTGTTTGGGAGTTCGTTCGCTCTTGGGACTGAGAGGGACCAGACATCAATCCAGGTTCTCCAAATCTTTCTGAACAAGTCTCTCATATTTCAAACTTGTAAGTAATCAGCCAGGCAAGGCGTGTTAGTTTTTAATCTTTGTTTTCTCAACTTGTAAATGTACCTTTTACTAGAGTGTTTATCTCTGTTTGCTTTACTTTGAACCTGAGGCTAGAGGGGGGTCCTCTGAGCTCTTTAAGTTTGATTACCCTGTAAAGTTATTTTCCATACTGATTTTACAGAGATGATTTTTACCTTTTTTCTTTAATTAAAAGTCTTCTTTTTAAGAACCTGATTGATTTTTTTCCTTGTTTTTAGATCCAAGGGGTTTGGATCTTGATCCACCAGGAGTTGGTAGAAGGAAGGAGGGGGGATGGTTAATTTCTCCTTGTTTTAAGATCCAAGGGGTTTGGATCTTGATCCACCAGGAGTTGGTGGAAGGAAGGAGGGGGGATGGTTAATTTCTCCTTGTTTTAAGATCCAAGGGGTTTGGATCTTGCTCCACCAGGAGTTGGTGGGAGGAAGGAGGGGAATGGTTACTTTCTCCTTGTTTTAAGATCCAAGGGGTTTGGATCTGTATTCACCAGGGAATTGG